TTTTACTAGGGGGCGGGGGGTGTTTGCTTGACAGGAACACACTGTCCAGAAAGCTAAGCTCTGCTCTTGGGAACAGTGTGCTGGAAACTGACAGGGAGGAGAGCTGCATTGAGCTACAATGCAGCGGTGCTCCATGTCAATGTTTGCCAGCAATCGCTGGGAACCGGCAGGTAATCAGTGGCTGGGACTTGGTGATTGACACCCACGGCCGCGAACGGTGCCATGGGCAGGGCGGGCACGCGCCCCCTACTATGTAAACAGGATGACGTTTATAAACGTGATCCTGCCTACAGAGGCCGCTTCGTCGCAGTAAATGTACTGTGGGCGGTTGCCTAGTGATTAATGATTGGTACCCTGAATGATAAAGGGTCTGGGATTAAATGTCCCATTTCAGTTATTGTAGATGTCACCAAGCTGTGCAGTGGAATAACGTCCTTACAGGATGTCTCCAACTTTCAAGTTGACCTCAATAAACTGCTTAATTGGGGAACTATGAGGCAAATGAGGTTTAATGTTGATAAATGTAAGGTTATGCACTTGGGGGCTAATAATATGCATGCATCATACATACTGGGGGGGGGTACAACTGGGGGAATCAATGGTGGAGAAGGATCTGGGGGTTCTGGTAGAACACAAGCTTAATAATAGCATGCAATGCCAAGCTGTGGCTTCTAAAGTGAGCAAAATCCTCTCTTGTATTAAAAGAGGTATAGACTCCAGAGAGAGATATCAAGAAATGTAATCTCCAAACACAGAAAGGTTTCTTCACAGTAAGAGCTGTGAAAATGTGGAATAGACTCCCTCAAGAGTTGGTTCTGGCCAGCTCAGTGGATTGCTTTAAAAAAAGCCGGGATTATTTCTTAGATACAGAGAATATAACTGGAAACTAACATTTATAGGTAAAGTTGATCCAAGCAATATCCAATTGCCTCTTTCGGGATCAGGAAGGAATTTATTTCCCTGCAGGAGCAAATTGGATCATGCTTTGCTGGGTGTTTTGCCTTCCTCTGAATCAACTGTGGGTATAGGATTAGAACTTTTTTTTTCTATGGGTGAACTGGATGGACTTTTGTCTTTTTTCAAACCAGACTAACTACAGTGAGGAACAGAAGTATTTGAACACCCTGTGATTTTGCAAGTTCTCCCACTTAGAAATCATGGAGGGGTCTGAAATTCACATTATAGGTGCATTCCCACTCTGAGAGACAGAATTTAAAAAAAAAATTCAGGAAATCACATTGTATGATTTGTAAAGAATGTATTTGTCTTGCACTGCTGAACATAAGTATTTGAACACCTGAGAAAATCAGTGTTAATATTTGGTACAGAAGCCTTTGTTTGCAATTACAGAGGTCAAATGTTTCCTGTAGTTCTTGACCAGGTTTGCACACACTGCTACAGGGATTTTGGCCCACTCCTCCACTCAGATCTCCTCTAGATCTGTCAGGTTTCGGGGCTGTCGCTGAGCAACACGGAGTTTCAGCTCCCTCCAAAGATGTTCTATTGGATTTAGGTCTGGAGACTGGCTAGGCCACTCTAGAACCTTGATATGCTTCTTACGGAGCCACTCCTTGGTTATCCTGGCTGTGTGCTTCGGGTTGTTGTCATGTTGGAAGACCCAGCCACGACCCATCTTCAATGCTCTGAGGGAAGGAGGTTGTTGCTCAAAATCTCACAATAAATGGCCCCATTCATCCTCTCCTTAATACAGTGCAGTCATCCTGTCCCCTTTGCAGAAAAGCACCCCCAAAGCATGATGTTACCTCCCCCATGCTTCACAGTAGGGATGGTGTTCTTGGGATGCAACTCATCCTTCTTTTTCCTCCAAACACGACGAGTGAAGTTTAGACCAAAAAGTTCTACTTTGGTGTCATCTGACCACGTGACTTTCTCCCATGCCTCCTCTGGATCATCCAGATGGTCACTGGCAAACTTCAGACGGGCCTGGACATGAGATGACTTGAGCAGGGGAACCTTCCGTGCAATGCATGATTTGAAACCATGACGGCGTAGTGTTCTACCGACAGTGACCTTTGAAACTGTGGTCCCAGCTCTCTTCATGTCATTGACCAGCTCCTCCCTTGTAGTTCTGGGCTGATTCCTCACCTTTCTTATCATCAGTGATACCCCACGAGGTGAGATCTTGCATGGAGCCCCAGTCCAACGGAGTCTGACAGTCGTCTTTAGCCTCTTCCATTTTCTAACAATTGCTCCAACAGTTGATCTATTTTCACCAAGTTGCTTGGCAATTGCCCTGTAGCCCTTTCTAGCCTTGTTTAGGTCCACAATTTTGTCTCTGGTGTCTTTTGACAGCTCTTTGGTCTTGCCCATGGTAGTAGTTGGCGTCTGACTGACTGTAGGGTGGTGGTGGTGGTGGTGGTGGTGTGTCTTTAAAGAGCTCAGAAAGGTGCTACTAAGTTAGATTAATGAGTGGAGCAGAGATGGACTTTTTAAAAGCACAGTAACAGGTCTTTGAGAGCCAGAATTCTTGCCGTTTCTTACGTGTTCAAATACTTATGTTCAGCAGTGCAAGACAAATACATTCTTTAAAAATCATACAATGTGATTTCCTGAATTTTATTTTTAAATTCTGTCTCTCAGAGTGGGAATGCACCTACAATGTGAATTTCAGACCTCTCCATGATTTCTAAGTGGGAGAACTTGCAAAATTCTCAGGGTGTTCAAATACTTCTGTTCCTCACTGTATGTAAAGCTTGAATCAGCAACAGTCTAAAGTTACAGAAATGGCGCCTTCAGAAGAGAGCTAGATTCTCCAAAAGTTTCTTACTAAATTACTGTGAATTTATTTTAAAAACATGACATATTCATAAACATTCTATATAGTGTACCTACTGCTGAGTGCTGCTTTTATCTATGTCTACTTTATTTTGCCTTTTGGCTTATTTATTGTAATAACATGCATTTTCTGCTTTTAAAGTGCTACTAAACCCAGGACCCTGCATTCACTATATCTGGCCACAGTACACAGAACATGGAAATGCAATTATGTTTGTAAATTTAAACTGCTAAATACCTTTTCTCATCAGCAGTTAGAGCAGTTTTGTGATTTCTGATCAGTGTTCAGCCAAGCACTGTAGGAGTAGTTTTGATTTTGCTCTAGGAGGATGCAGAACCCCTGACCTTGTCTGCACAGTGCTGATTGGTCCTGTGCTGATCACATGCACTCTCCCAAGAAAAAACAAAAAAACAAAAAACTATCTAGCAATACACACCAAACTGAGCATGTACAGAGTGACTTTACACAATATCTCTTATCAGGAGATAAGAGGGGGACACTGGAAGAAGGGGAGGATCAGAGAAGTCAGGATCAAGCAGTATTTTTACACAATGCAGAGGATTACCCCTTAAGTTGCACAGTGAGTATAACAAGCATGGTTTACTGCATATACAGACTGATTTTACTGATGTGGGTTTAGTAACACTTTAAGTCATGCTTAAAGAAATATTAAACCCAAAGGCAAAACATTTAATATGTGTGGGCTGTGTTAGTTTTTTTTCTTTTGTTTTACCCTGGTGATCTGTCCAGTAACACTTCCTGTCTTAGGATGGCTCTTCTACCCACCGACAAGCAATATAGTCACCCTTGGACAGCAGCACTGCCTCCTAGATAGACTAGTAGGTCTATTTCGATTTTTACAGGAGTGCCAAATAAACTGAAGCTGAACTCCAGCTAACTCGTCTCAGGCAATTACTGATGTTCTTTTTTTACCTTTGGGATACAGGTTTTACCTAAATGAATACAAATTGTAAGCACCCCTGTCAGTGTTCAATGACTGGACTCAACCCTCTAACTGCCACTTCTGTTGCACAGCATGATCTGTTAATGAAAATTGAAAAAAAACAGTAGGAACAGGAGGTAGAAACTATATTACAGGGGAACTCAGTAAAACAAAGACTGCTTTGTGAATATTAGTGACAGCCTGCAGCATATGTATTTTTTTATTTTGCTTTTTGTACCACATTAATTGGTTTACTTTGTGGTTCTAATCTAGATTTATATTATGGTTATTATCTTATGCAGTGTGGATGAACTGATACTGAATTGTAAATTGTTCTACTATAAATAATACGCTTGTTTCTTCTCAGCATACAATAAATACTTGACTAACAGTGTGAGAATGCAGCTTCTGATTACTGATTAACATCAGCTATCAATATGGTCTATTTATTATCAAATGCCACCCTTGCATGCTGTTCTCTAAATCAATGCATGGAGCGACACTGAACAGCCAGTCTGAATGTAATTACAATTTCAGGAAAAAAGGGGGAAAACAATAATATGCTATGAGAATAGCTGTGGTTTTTGCTTTTTGTACCCCCAACAGTAAAATCAGTCTGTATATGCAGTAAAGCATGCTTGTTATACTCACTGTGGAACATAAATAAAGGGTTAATCCTCCACATTGTGTAAAAAGGGTGTTTGATCCTCTCTTCTCTGATCCATCCCTTCTTCCAGCGTTTCCTAAATATCTCCTGAATTAACAGAGGCTTGGGGGCAAGCTGCACATGCTCGGTTTGTTGTGTATTGCTAGAGAGCAGGGGCGGACTGACAACTCATGGGGCCCCCCACGGGCAATAGGGGATCATGGGGCCCCTGTGTCCTTGCCCGCACTCAAAGTACACCCAAAAAGCCTATACAAAAGGTACCAGGGGCATTTCATGAGGCCCCCCTACTGACCCCGGGCCCTCGTGCAGTGCCCGAGTGCTCAAATGGTCAGTCCGCCCCTGCTAGAGAGTTTTTTTTTTTTTTTTTTCTTGGAAAAGTGCATGTGATTAGCACAGAGCCAATCAGCACTCTGCATCCTCACAGAGCAAAATTAAAACTCCTCCTACAAGTTTTAACATGTGCTCTGCTAAACACTGATAGAAGTCACAAGACTGCAATATACTGCTTATGAGAAAAGGTATTTAGCAATTTATATTTACTAAAATACCTGCATTTCCATGTTCTGTGTACTGTGGGAGACCAGATATAGTGAATGCAGGGTCTGGGGAGACCAGATATAGTGAATGCTGGGTCCAGGGAGAGCAGATATAGTGAATGCGGGGTCCGGGGAGACCAGATATAGTGAATGCGGGGTCCGGGGAGACCAGATATAGTGAATGCAGGGTCTGGGGAGACCAAATATAGTGAATGCAGGGTCTGGGGAGACCAGATATAGTGAATGCAGGGTCCGGGGACAGCAGATATAGTGAATGAAGGGTACGGGGAGACCAGATATAGTGAATGCTGGGTCTAGGGAGAGCAGATATAGTGAATGCAGGGTCCGGGGAGAGCAGATATAGTGAATGCAGGGTCCGGGGAGAGCAGATATAGTGAATGCAGGGTCCGGGGAGACCAGATATAGTGAATGCAGGGTCCGGGGAGACCAGATATAGTAAATTCAGGGTTCAGGAAAAGCAAATATAGTGAATGCAGGGTCCGAGGAGAGCAGATTTAGTGAATGCAGGGTCCGGGGAGAGCATATATAGTGAATGCAGGGTCCGGGGAGAGCAGATATAGTGAATGCAGGGTCTGGGGAGAGCAGATATAGTGAATGCAGGGTCCGGGGAGAGCAGATATAGTGAATGCAGGGTCCGGGGAGAGCAGATATAGTGAATGCGGGGACCGGGGAGAGCAGATATAGTGAATGCAGGGACCGGGGAGAGCAGATATAGTGAATGCAGGGTCCGGGGAGAGCAGATATAGCGAATGCAGGGTCCGGGGAGAGCAGATATAGTGAATGCAGGGTCCGGGGGAGACCAGATATAGTGAATGCAGGGTCCGGGGAGACCAGATATAGTGAATGCAGGGTCTGGGGAGACCAGATATAGTGAATGCTGGGTCCAGGGAGAGCAGATATAGTGAATGCGGGGTCCGGGGAGACCAGATATAGTGAATGCGGGGTCCGGGGAGACCAGATATAGTGAATGCGGGGTCCGGGGAGACCAGATATAGTGAATGCAGGGTCTGGGGAGACCAGATATAGTGAATGCAGGGTCTGGGGAGACCAGATATAGTGAATGCAGGGTCCGGGGAGAGCAGATATAGTGAATGCTGGGTCTAGGGAGAGCAGATATAGTGAATGCAGGGTCCGGGGAGAGCAGATATAGTGAATGCAGGGTCCGGGGAGAGCAGATATAGTGAATGCAGGGTCCGGGGAGACCAGATATAGTAAATTCAGGGTTCAGGAAAAGCAAATATAGTGAATGCAGGGTCCGAGGAGAGCAGATTTAGTGAATGCAGGGTCCGGGGAGAGCATATATAGTGAATGCAGGGTCCGGGGAGAGCAGATATAGTGAATGCAGGGTCCAGGGAGAGCAGATATAGTGAATGCAGGGTCCGGGGAGAGCAGATATAGTGAATGCAGGGTCCGGGGAGAGCAGATATAGTGAATGCGGGGACCGGGGAGAGCAGATATAGTGAATGCAGGGACCGGGGAGAGCAGATATAGTGAATGCAGGGTCCGGGGAGAGCAGATATAGCGAATGCAGGGTCCGGGGAGAGCAGATATAGTGAATGCAGGGACCGGGGAGAGCAGATATAGTGAATGCAGGGTCCGGGGAGAGCAGATATAGTGAATGCAGGGACCGGGGAGAGCAGATATAGTGAATGCAGGGACCGGGGAGAGCAGATATAGTGAATGCAGGGTCCGGGGAGACCAGATATAGTGAATGAAGGGTCCGGGGAGACCAGATATAGTGAATGAAGGGTCCGGGGAGACCAGATATAGTGAATGAAGGGTCCGGGGAGAGCAGATATAGTGAATGCAGGGTCAGGGGAGAGCAGTAAGTAATGCTTCACAAATATTTGTCTCGGCAACATACACTAAAACCTGCACCATTGTCATCCTGACACTGCCTCCTTTCCCTTGAGTCCCCTCTGTTGATCCATTCCCTACTACCTCCTTAACCTGAACATTACCAGTTTACATTCATATGTAGATCTGGCTCATATTTTAGCCGGGTTCTGCGGATCGTTATACATGTTATTTTGTTTTTGCCCTATACTTTGTAACTTAAAACTGAGACATTGTCAAGGAAGTCTATACCATCTCCGGAAGTGACATTGTATTGATTTCACCTGTTTGGCAGATGTGTCATGTTTGTGGTTTAAATAATCACCTTGTATTGTTGATAGTTTGGAAATGTCACCATATGGCGGTTTTGTACTGACATTGTACTATTATCTCTTGAATGGTTATTTAGTTCAAAGCTATGAAATGTATACTTCCTTGCCGCCTACCTTAGATAAAAAAAAAAAATCTATAAATCCTGCCCCTCTCGGCTTTTCTATTTAGTGAACACTCTGTAGCCTCAACAAAATGTAACTTGACCAACAGTGATGCCGGAAATGAACATAAAGCTATATAGTGCATAGATGCCTGCAGATCATTATAAGGGAAAACACCAATTTATCATCATGTAGGTAGTAGTAGTTTGTTACATTCAGCTGGACATGTTCTGAAATGTTGAGCATGTTTCAATTCACTGCAGAAGCTGTTTGGATGAAAGGAGGCACGTTGTCAGCTTTACAGAACATGTCCATGTGAACGTCACTAAATACTACCAGCTATACTGTGACCTGGATACACAAAGGGAAAATTCAGTTTGCAAAACATACTCAATTATGTGCAATAAAAACAACCAGGATTTTTTTTCCATAATATAATTGATAAAAAATAAAGCATTACAACAGTGTCAATATTAAGAGTACAGATCTTCGGTAAAGCATAGTGTATACATCAATATCCGGGAGAATAATTCAGATGAGTCGTATGGTTGTGGATGACCTGTTACATAAAGAAAATCAATTCAACGTATGCTCTATGAACTCTGAAAGTCAGAATTTTTGTTTGTACGTGCTTAGAGTATAAAAAATTCACTTTGAAAATGAACATGATCTACTCGTTTAGCAAATAAACTCCAATGCATACCCTTATGTACTCATTGTTCTTTCAGGTATTGAAACCTTTTAAACAGAATAGCCAGACCAATAGCATTTTAAAAGGAGAGCATCTGTGCCAGCCTTGTTTGTCAATAACAATTTAATGAATTTAGTCAAAGAGAAGAAAGATTATTTCTGAATGGTTGCTTGGAATTCATTTTAAGTTACAAGAGAGTCTTCGTGTTAGTACTTACATGAAAGTCTTGAGCATTTCAGATATTCAGTATACCGCACAATCAAGTCATAGGATGCTGGAAATCTGTTTTTCATTCCCTTTCTATTACCTGATGGATTTATGTGCGTGGCGTGCAGCTGAAGTCAGCCTTCCGTGAATCATACCGTGGAGATATCGACTTTAAATAAGAAAAAACTGCTCTTGAAATATCCCATGTTATATTCTACTACTAGAAAATAAACTAGAATTCATAGGGGAAGCAACTCATTTCTAAAAGTACAGATAGAAAACGTATTCTTTATACATATATTTTTTTATAAACAGTATATAGATTCCACATATTAGGAATCATAAGAACTCCATTATGAAAGATGATTTATATATTTAGCAGCTTCCCGACCACCCTACAGCAGAACTACTACTACAGGGTGGCAGGGCTGTGCAACATCATGTAAATATAAGTGATTTTGCATTTCCAGGTAGGGGGTGTGCCCTGCCTGTGCTGTCATTGGCGGCTACAGCAGTCAATCACCGTGTCCCAGACAGAGATTCCCTGCCAGCATTTGGCAGGAACACTGACAGGGGAGTGGTCTATATGTAAAAAAATACACATTTCTCCCCTGTTAGCACCAACATGCTGCTTTGTATTGCTCTACATAGCATAACCCTCTTATATTGAATTGGATTGTCTTCATTGATATTGTAAAGCGCAAAACGTTGGTGCTATATAAATCCTGAATAATAATTAAAAAATTAAAAAACAATCCCCAACACTGATGTAAGTAATATTAACTCCCTCCTGACATTGCTGCTCACTGGCAGTGAAAGTTAACCCCATTGGTGATCACTTACCCATCACAGCTCTCTCTCTCCTTAGGCCAAGAATTTGCTTGTACTGTGAGTACGCTTTTCCTAAGTTTCCACGTTGCTCAGCTGTGAATGCAGCCTGATATGTATACTTAAAACATGGAACAAAGTATAAAGCCCTCATAAATTATGAATCCAATGTGAAAAGTACCTTCAAGTGTGTACCAGCTTCAGGCCACAGTCACACCCGAGCAAAGATTGTTTTTGGGGCTTTTTTGTGTGACAGCACAAAGCAGCTTTTTCACTTGAATGGGCCACCCTATGTGTAGAAAACATGAAAAATAGTTTTTTGGTTTTTTTGGAGCTTTGTATGATTGCTACCCATGTTAGATGTGCCATTCAGCATTAATGGCACCACAAGGAAGATGTGCAATTTTCAAACATTTCGAGAAATCTGTGTGTGTTCTTGGAAATCCAGAGTGTGTTCCACCACCAATGTAGATATGAACTTCTAACCCCATCATTGGTGTCAGAGGATGCAACAATAACCACAACCACTGTCATCAGTGTACACAATACACCCCCCACCACGGCCATCAGTGTATCCAAAAATATACCCCTGGCACTGCCATTAGTGGATGCAATAAAATGAGACCAGCACTGTTGTCAGTGAACACAGCAATATCCCCCGAGCCCTGCCATCAGTGGAATCAATAATATACACCAATACTGAGGCCAATTCACACAATAATAACACCCAGTATTGCTGTCAGGACTAGTAACTCTTCCCGACAGTGGTCATTTACAGTGAGAGTTAACCCCATTGTTAATCATTTATGCATCATAGCTCCCGCACTGCTCTCTCCCCCCAGGCCCGAGACTTTGCTTGTACTGTGGGTACATTTATGGTACATCAGAGTGCCTCCTTACATTAGGTATCCCCCATCAGAGTCCCCCCTTAAATATGGTATCCCCAGTAAGTGCCCCTTTACATTTCGTGTCTCCATCACAGTGCCTCCTTACATGAGGTGACCCCATCAATGAGCCTCCTTACCTCAGGTGTCCCCCTTCAGAGTCCCTCCTTACATCAGGCATCCCATCAGAGTCCCTCTATGCTATCATCGCCCGTGCCATTTACAAATGCTAATTCACCCTGATCTGCTAGATGGTAAGTGTCTACGAGCAATATCCATCTGTGCCATCATCACTCATGCCATGTATGAATTCTAATTCACCCTGCACTGCTAGATTGTAAATGTCTGCGAGCAATATTCTTCTGTGCCATCTACGCCCATACCATGTAGGAATGCTGATTCACCCTGCACTGCTAGATGGTAAATGACTGCGAGCAATCATCGCCCATGCCATGTAGGAATGCTAATTCACCCTGCACTGCTAGATGGTAAATGTCTGCGAACAAAATCCATCTGTGCTACCATCGCTCGTGTCATGTATGAATGCTA